AATGGGTCCAGTTATTTCAGGTCACTGTAGAAACTAGATGTAAAAATCATTATGAATTTCGCAGTCAAATTTCACTCGTTTACTCCCTGTTCCCTAGAGTGGCCAATTGCTTATGTCTTGTAACGATGGTAAGTATCGGACGAGCATAGTCGAATATTCTGTGTTGGTTTTGACTCATTCTTTGATTTTTAAATTTTTTTATTTCGTTTAATCAAAGAAACAAAAACAAAATAAAATTGCTGAAAGAAAATTCGATCCAAGAAAATTTGTCTGATTATGTATATGTTTTCAGGTATTCGTTCAGGACTTGTCAGTGTGATACAAAACATTCACCAACAATCTCCACAAAGATTCCAGAACATTCTTGCAGAAATGCCTCAAGAGCATGCTCAAGTGCTGATGACCGCTGCCACTGTGCAGGCGCCCGGTTGACATCACTTGCGATTTTAACTACATCGCAGAGGATCATTGCTTTCAGTGAAAAGTGAAGAGACCTATTTGTCTCCCATAAGCAGTGTCGCCTGAGTTGTCAACTGGCTTATGTAAACAGAGACAACATAAGATTTTGCAGGGTGGGAATGTCGCTATGATTTGCTTATCGAACAACTTACCACGCAACATGCAATTAGAAATGGCAATAGGACTTTGTGGAGTCCAATACAGGCTGAAAGTGGGCTTGTAATAACCAATCACGTTCGAGAAGTTAGTTACAGTTTTGATTATCATAGAAATTAAAAGATAAGAGAAAAAAAACTCGTATATGAAAATATGACCACGCACATTTGAAAGGTTAATGCAAATATCTTTGAATGAATTGAAAAGAGACTGGAAAGTGGTAGTTAAATATTTTTAATTTGTGAAACTTATTTACGGAATGCATTGTAACGTCATCACCGTTTGTAAGGTATTACTCATACAAACAGGTCTCTTTTCATCTTTTCATTTGACAATAGTACAGCTAAATTTACTACCAAGTACAAACGGAGAAAATGCATTTATCTGAAATGATATATTTAATAGTTAAAGTGACTTCAAGCTGTCATCGTGAATAGTCAATTAAAGAAGTGTATTTTAAATCTCGAGCGAATGGCAAAATCTAAAGAAGATGACAGAAATTTGATTACTTTGTATTGGAATTGAGTTCTGAACGTATCTATGTTCTAACTTTGTAGAATTCCGTGTTCGGAAAAATCTGATTGAAGATCGAAAACGATCAGTTTAAAAAAGCAGAAGGAGAATAAAAGTTATGGTATACCTTGCCTAATGCGTCAGATTCGCCAAACTTTGTGCGTTTTCAGGAAATGCTTAAGATTCCCAAAGCTTTCCGAATATTTAATTGGCGGATCTTACGTCTCTCAAAGCTTGCTGAACATGCTTTCGTTTGATAGTGCAGCTGGCAGTTCCCTCGGGCAATATGAAGCGAACTCTGTGTTTTGATTGGATGCTATTTTTAATGAAGTTGAAGAAATGTTTATTGGGTGTTGCTCGAGCAATTTGTCTGGTTTTAACAACCTTTTTACAATGGAGTAACTTATTGGCTCACCCTGGACTGGACGTTTAATTCATTCAGAAGGTGCGTATACAGTTGACCATCTGTGTAGATCTGTACACTTTTCATGAAGGTTTTTATTCTCATTGTAATTGTAACTTCTGTTTTCGTTGGTATTCCAAATAACTAAAACTTGTCGCCGGTTTCACATATGGTTGGGTCTTGCGGCGTAAACCAGGGACTATGTCTTTGTTGACTGAGGACCTTGGGATCCTTTAGAAGTGATTCACGTAACTGTTCCACGTATGGATTGAATTTATCCACATTTTTGTCTTTGAGTCATGTCATGTTTTGTTTCATTTTCTTCGCGCGATCAGACAAACCAGAAACTAAGCGTAGTGAATTCTATTGTCGACTGTTCCTCGCATATATATATATATATGAATATATCTTATTAGACGTTTTTGTGTGTAGTATCGCTGGGTATTTTACGAGTTGTGCCGTATTTTTACGAGCCCGCCGGGTGAGTTAAAATATAAACAACTCGTAAAAACACTCGGCGATACTACACACCAAAACGTCTGATAAGTGATTTATTATCCTACTAATTTTTTTCTGCTACGTCTTTCTGTTCATAAGGCGGGAAGAACAAAGCGGATAGAGAAGCGTAGCGCGCGCAGCCGACTGGTTAAACAGATTTTTTTACAATACAAAATAACCAACTGTCCAAATAAATATCGCAGGATATTTGTACTCTATTCGCGGGTTATTTGTACTCTACTTTGTGCAGTTGGATAATAACTTTGAATACTCGTCATGCTACGATGTTCAGTTTTGCTGGGACAGTTACATGTGCGATTTATTTTCTCTGAGAAAACCCATTAAATTTCATCATGATTAATTGAATGGCAAAACCACCCCACTATTACACTTATCAACTCTCTCAGTAGTATTTCAAAATGACTGAAAAAAACGAACATATCAACGTATGGTTTTCATATATTGATTTGCTTCACAGTGTTTTGAAATTTTGTGTTCTTATATAAATAACAAACAGTGACGATAAGGGTTGGTCGATGAGCGGACGTTTTGGAATGAAGGGAAGCTTTTTAACTGTCTTTCATTATTTTGTTCTTTCGGTTTCAAAGCATCAGACACGAAATTAACTTCTTGATAAGTAGGACTGACAATGTTACATGGATACCCGGAGTTTCTTTTCCTTTTTTTTTCTGGACTACATCAACAAATTTCATGATCATTAAGTAACTTCGCATAAATAAGGACCTATAGAAAAGCATAGCTCTTGTATTTTATTTAACAAATAGAGAAGCCTTGACTGTGCTCTGTTCTGTTTTAAAGCCCGCAGGAAGCGCCTAGAGCACGAAAGAAGTGTAGGGAGAAATACAAGACGTATTCGAGTGTTTCTTACTTCTTGAGTGAGTAATCTTTGTTTGATTTTAAAAAAACGATCGAGAAAGTAAGCAAAGATGCATGAGATAATTCACATAACCATCTCAATGCTAATCCTGGCATATTTCTCGAAATATTCGCCATGATTTGCATGAGTTTGTTTTTGTGTTCTTATTTCTCTTGGAAAAGCGCCACAGTCGCGCGATTGAGGGTAATTCAGTCGATGACGCTGCACGTGCAAGAAGTAATATTTCATTTCCTTGGAGGAGCTGAAACTTAATTTATTTCGTGCCATTCATAAAATAATGTAACCGGAAACTAACTTACTTTACTAATTGTTCAGTATAAAGTAAGCTTCATTCCCCTTTCGATCAACTAGTAAGACTGATTTGCTACGCCACACGGTAAACCCACATGACATTCGTTAAAATGTGACGATTATTCATTACCTGCAAAGAAGGGGAGACTGGTAATGAAAACTTCCGCCACGTCACCAGAGAAACCGAAAATGCACACTTCCCCGAAGTTCCAGATTAACTTATTGCGCCATGACCGGGAGTAAAAGTTTCAGTAAATATTTGAAATGACTTCTGAGCTGATTTGAAAGAAAACTTCAGCAGATATGTGGGAGTCAAATTAAATGATCCAACTCTTAATTGAACCACATACCATTAACACTCCGACTTTAGTGGTATTTTTTAATGTCGTAATTTTTTGGTTTTTACACTCGAACATATCACAACGGTGTGATAAGAGTTTGTGTTATCATATTAATAATACACAGCCTCGGTGAGGCAGTATAAGGGCGAAAGTTTTGGAATGTAGGGGAATTAATTGTTCACTCTTTGTGTTGTTTCACCTTCAAAAGCATCAGTCACGGACTCAACATCTTGGTAAATATGACATGGAAACCAAGATTTATATCGGTTTTTTCTTCACTGCATTTACAAAAAAAATTATTTTTAAGTATAACTTTGAAAAGGTACCGTTCTTTCCACAAAGTCCTGTGGCTAATAAGATATGATGCGTTGTACAAAAATCGCCTCCGAAGTGAAATTAATTTTTATCAAGCGATTGTGTCCATCCTTTGTGGCTTCACATCTTGTAATTTATCCTCATCAGCTCAATAAGATAAAATTCTTTCTAAGCAGCATATAGCCCAATGGTTAAGAATCGCCACAACAATGTCCTAAATGTTGCCATTTTTTGCGGAATGTCAAAAAACTTTCTAGATTGCTTTCGCAGAAGTTTATCTCTTTTGCTTAGTTGACAATGTATACACTTTAAACTTATTAAATGACACCTTCAAAAATTTACTTGGTCAATGATGAGTTACATCTGTGATCATGTCTCGCTCTTTCATAAACGTTAGAGAAAACCGAAAGATTGATGCTCTCGATACAATCGCGCAAAAAAAAGTAAATCAGTGAATAGATGAATACATAAAACGAGAAACTTAGAGGAAGCTTGATCATAAGAGGCTTTATTGCAAATAAGTTTTGACCGCTAGTACAAAGAATTGAAGAACTACGCATGGTGAAAGTGGTGTTTTGACTGTAGACTATTCTTTGCTAATTTCTTTGGATACTCGCCATGCAAAATCATTTATTTGCCTTTGGCTATGTTTGTTTGATTTGCAGCAATTTTCTTTTCCATATAAAAGCGAAATTAAAATAAAATACGCTATTTAGAGAATAAGGTCTGTTGGAAAATAAGAGGCTGGAGAGAGAAGTTTTTCACTTTCCTCACGCGATCAAAGAGACCAAAAGGCGAAGGTCTAGTTCGACCACAAAATCCTGATTAAAAACTGTTGGTCACAATGAAATTTTTTCCAAACGATCTGTGGACTCGACGTTAAGGGAATTCATGTGCTTCAGTTTTACCAATCCTCGCATCTTCTTGGCTTCAGTTTCTATTGGTAGTCGGTATTGTTAATCCTAACACCACGAGCCCAGTACAGAAATTTCCCAGATCTGAGCGACTTTTCACATACCGCGTCCTGTTCTCAGAGACAGATAATGATCCAGATGATATAATCATTTGGATTGAATTGCTTTACTAAATATCTTGTTTACATCATTTGGTTTAGGAAACTACCGCGATGGAAAACATAGGAGAAGAAATAATTGGTATGGCTTTACCTGTTGCACTGTTCTTGCTAAACACGAATCGTGTTCAAAAAGCTATCGAGTGTTGCAAAGAAAGCTTGTTTTTGATGAATTGCAACACAGAAGAGAACGACTTGCAATCTATCAAACTGCTTCTCATGGAATTCTATTTTATTCTTTTCCGCGCTTACCGTCGTATCTCTGACTACATAAATGCGGAGAGATACTGCCGTGAATTGCTAGTCCTCTCCCATGAGTCTGGTGCCTTACTGAAGGAAGGAAATGCAAGCATGGCTTTGGCAAAAATATGTGAGATTCAGTGTAAGTTTACAGAAGCCACACAACTTTACGATAAAACGATTAACATCAGGGCACAAATAGGGGATAAAAAAGGAGAAGGAAACGCCTGTGTAAGAATTGGAGCTATGTTTTATAAACTTGGTGAATACGTAAAGGCGAAAGAGTATTACGAGAGAGCTCTTAAGATCACAACTCAAATTGGCGACAGAAACGGAGAAGCATTATCGTACGTAAACTTAGGAGCTACGTTTGAGTCACTCGGGGAATATTTGAAAGCGAAAGAATATATCGAGAGAGCCCTTGCTATCAGAATTGAAATGGGCGACAGACTAGAAGAAGCGACATGCTACGGAAACTTAGGAGTTGTGTTTATGGGGCTTGGGCAATACGTCAAGGCTACAGAGTATCTCGAAAAAGCCCTTGCTATTAGGACTAAAATTGGTGACAGACTAGGAGAAGCAGCAGATTACGAAAACTTAGGGCACGTAAATTTGTTGCTTAGACAATACTTCAAAGCCAAAGAGTATTTACAAAAAGCGCTGTCCATAAGAGCAGAAACTGGTGACAGAACAGGGGAAGCAGTAGATTTCCTTAACTTAGGAAGTGTGTTTAAGTCGCTTGGGCTGCAAGTGGAGGCTAAAGAGTATTTAGAAAAAGCTCTTGCCTTCAATAATGAAATTGGCAACAGAAACGGGCAAGCAAAATGTTACGAACACATAGGAACTATGTTTATGTCGTTTGGGGAGTACATCAAGGCTAAAGTGAATCTCGAAACGGCGCTAGCCATCGCAACTGAAATTGGCGACAGAGCAGGAGAAGCGCGTTGTTACGCTCAGTTAGGAGATGTGTTTACCTCGCTTAGTGAAAACGTCAAAGCGAAAGAGTATACTGAGAGAGCCCTTGCCATCAGAATTGAAATTGGCGACAGGAAGGGAGAAGCATTGTGCTATGAAAAGTTAGGAATGTTGTTTTGGTGGCTTGGGGATTATGACAAGGCGAAAGAGTATGTCGAGAGAGCCCTTGCCATCACTGCTAGACTTGGCGACAGAGCAGGAGAAGCTTCTTATTACGCGCTGTTAGGAAATTTGTTTACCTCGCTTGGTGAAAACGTCAAAGCGAAAGAGTATACTGAGAGAGCCCTTGCCATCAGAATTGAAATTAGCGACAGGAAGGGAGTAGCATTGTGCTATAAAAAGTTAGGAATGTTGCTTTGGTGGCTTGGGGATTATGACAAGGCGAAAGAGTATGTCGAGAGAGCCCTTGCCATCACTACTAAACTTGGCGACAGAGCAGGAGAAGCTTCTTGTTACGCGCGGTTAGGAGATTTGTTTACCTCGCTTGGTGAAAACTTCAAAGCGAAAGAGTATACTGATAGAGCCCTTGCTATCAGAATTGAAATTTGCGACAGATGGGGAGTGGCGGAATGTTATGGAATCTTAGGAAATATATTTTCTTCCCTTGGAGAATACTTCGAGGCTAAAGAGTATTTCAGAAACGCGCTTCTCATTAGCATTGAAATTGGCGACAGAGATGGAGAAGCAAAATCCTATCGGAACTTAGGACATTTGTTTACGATGCTTGATCACCAAATTGCGGAAGTATGTTTCGAGAAGGCACTTTATTTATCCAGCACTATAGAAGTACGTTACCTTGAGTTGCAAGTCTTGTTCGGTTACTCGATATTATTTTTACAACAAAACAAGCTCAAAGAAGCTCTTTGGTATTTACACCAGAGCATTTATAAATTCGAAGAGCAAAGAAATCTTCTTGGAATCAACGATCAGCTTAAAATATCATTTTTGGAGGCGAGAGGTGCGTCTCCTTACAAGCTGCTGAGTTGGTTGCTCTGTGTTACCCGGAATCCTCATCATGCTCTTTACGTTGAGGAGTTGGGTCGAGCAAGAGGCCTATCAGACTTGATGGCAGAGAAGTACTCCGTTGAAACGCACATTTCTGCTAATCCACAATCTTGGTCTGGCATTGGAGACATCTTGAAGAAGGAAAATAACTCTACTTGTTTGTACATTTCTTTTTTTGCAAATGTTGTACAATTATGGATCATGAAATCAAGTGGAGTCATCTATTTCAAAACAATTCCAGTGAAAGAATATTTCGTTCTAGCTGGGTTGGCCAAGAAGTTGTCATTGGACGATATTTTGGTCAACAGTTTCCGTAGTTTTGGTTGTTTGCCCATGGAAGAGTGCGAGGATCGTTCTTTACAAGTGGGTGAGCCGCAACCTATTTCACTAGAGCAGAGGAGCTCCAAAGCATCACGACTTGTAGAGGAAGACAACAACGAGGAGGAAATTTCGAGTATATTCTTGTGTTACAAAATCTTTATTGCCCCAATTTACCATTTACTTGAAGACCCAGAAGTCATTATCGTTCCTCATAGTAGCTTGTACAAAGTTCCATTTGCAGCCCTAAAAGAAAAGGATGGAGCCGAATACTTCTCGGAGAGTCATAGGATCCGTATTGTTCCTTCTTTGACAACACTTAAGCTCATTCAAGACAGTCCGGTGGACTATCACAGCAACAGTGGTGCACTGATAGTAGGTAATCCCAAGGTTGGTTGGCTGTCGCCACTGCCATGGGCTAGAATAGAAGCAGAGATGGTTGGAAGGCTGGTGGGCACTGCACCCCTGGTAGGAGAGAGAGCAACGAAGCAGGCTGTACTTGAACAGATAACTTCAGTCAGCCTGATACATTTTGCAGCCCATGGTGACGCCGAAAGAGGAGAAATAGCCCTCTCCCCTAATCAAACCCCCGACAATCCAAACATTATTCCGCCAAAGGAAGCCTATATGCTGACGATGGGTGATGTTTCACGAGTAAAAGTCAGAGCTAAACTGGTGGTACTCAGCTGTTGTCACAGTGCAAATGGACAGATCCGAGCCGAGGGAGTTATCGGAATCGCCCGGGCGTTCCTAGCTTCCGGTGCTCGGTCGGTGTTGGCTGCGCTGTGGGCCATTCCAGACTCAGCAACAGAGAAGCTCATGCGTCGGTTCTACGAACATCTTGTTGGTGGAGAAAGTGCAAGTGAATCTCTTCACCAGGCCATGAAGTGGATGAGGAATAACGGTTTCACCATGGAGTCTGACTGGGCTTCATTTATGCTGATTGGAGATGACGTGAAGTTGGAGTTTGGCAAACAGAGGTAAGAATCAGTGTCAAGGCGTTTGACATAAGTTATATTATATGTGACGGTGGCTCTACCCAATTGCTGATAACGAGAAGAGATCCATTGACCTTATATAGTCTAACACTGAATATAACAAGCGATTGGAAATCTATTTAATTTTGTTTCGCAGAGCGACAATCAATCCATTGACTCCCAAAATCTGATTGACAGTTCTTCCCTTTAGCTGCTACACATATCCTTGTAAATTAGTTATAAGAATTTGGTGTTGAATCAAGATAACAACTTCTACCTGATAAGTTTGAATATTATCATTAGCTGTTTGCAGGACAATGTAAGGATGTTATCGGGAGAAGTTTCATGTTGATCACTTCAGGGAGTTAGTGGGTTAATGATCTCTATTACGCGTAAAATATAGCATGTCAGAAGTGTTTCTCAAATTTCGTCGGGTTTTTACATTTGTTGTTACATACTTTTGTTCCAGGAAAGAAGACCTCAAAAATTAAAAGAACAAGAAAGACTCAAGGAAATAGAGCTGGAAGAACTCTGGATGTATAAATTAATTAGCAATCGTTGACTCAAAATGTGTGATTCAAAAGACAAACATTATAAATTATAGTGATATGTTCCGCATCTAGAAATTTTATTTTGTGAGGGAATTACTTTTGTTTGCTGTTTTGATTGAACAGACCAATGGAAACAATTATAGGCACTTTCATATATTTTATATCAATTATTACAATCATTAATTTCTCACGTCAAGTTAAATCAGCAGTTTAGGAATTAAAGGAGTCAATCTCCCGCATCTCTTTTCTTAATGAAAATTATTTTGATTTTTAGTGAAAAAAAACTTTCATCAGTACAGAATGATTTTATCCTATTACCTTCACAGACACCTTTTTCAGTCTTCTGCAAGAGTGCCATTCCTTACTGCTGTTAGATTAGGAAATTGTGTGGGGATTTCAAAATACTCCTTCCAAGATAGCATGTATATCTGTATACTTGTATCAGTTATTGTTTTCAGCTATTTCTAAGTTCAGGTATTGGATTGATTTCTTAAGAATGTACAACTTGTTGATTTTGTTACCAAATGTTTCCTGAGTATTTAAAAGTTATTTAAGGTTACCTTTTAGACGCGTAAGTCAGTTTTGAACCTGCTTGAAAGCAATAAGTTATTCTTGAAAATTTAGTTCCTGATTTTGTAACCAGTTTTAAAACAGAGTTACCAAAATAAATGCTAAGGTGGCTTTGGACTTGAACAATGAGTCTCACCAATTACTTAGTAGTAATCAAATAATTAGCAACACATATACGTGACACACTCAGCTGCGCCTCGGGTGCCACATTTTGTTTATTCCATATTTCGACCCCTTCTGAGATCTATCACAGAACAGATGGACAGTAAAATGGAATCTATACATCAAAGTGATAATGGCACACGGCCAACAGCTATTCGAGAATATCAAAAGTCATTTTCAGGACAGAGTTTTTAAATGACACAGGTAATTTTTAATGATCTATTTGTGCCTTAGACGTTCAACGGTGACCTTTAGATCTTCCACCACAACATCAATATGTTCCTTGGTTGTGTCTCGTCCTACACTCAGTCGCAGAGCATTCATTGCAATGTCATGAGGGACTCCAATGGCAATTAAGATGGGAGATGGTCGTGAAGCTACATCTGAGTGACATGCAGCACCAACACTTGCCTGCAGTCTTTTAACAGTGGCCAAGATTTTTCTTCCTTCCAGTCCTATACCAATAAATGATACATTGCATGTGTTGGGTATTCGCTCACTTGTCTCAAATTTCCCATTGACCTGAATTTTGTCTTGAAAGATCTCCTTCAGTCTGACCTCAAGATAGTCTCTTATCTGAAACAAAAGGATAAAGGGAGTAATTCTTGTAAACTTTATTTTGTAAATGCACACAAGCCAGGCCAAAGGGAAATCCAAACAGGGGATGGCACAAAATCAAAATTGCTATGTGAAGCAGGTTTTACTTGTCTCTCATGGCTGTGAAAGTCACTTTAAACTCAACTCTTTGAAGGCACTTTCAACTGGCACCATTCACTCCCACCCATGAAAAGAGATTTCTCTCTATTTTTTAAAAGGTGTTAAGTATGGGTGAAAGCTTCACTGTTGAAAAACTCCATATGGCTGTATAGATTGGATGCCTATGGACTACAGTAAAACAAACCACACTACAGTTATTCATTATTTGGTTAGCCCTTTAAATGGCTCCTTCTTGGTGTAGAAGACACAGGACATATCACAAAAGAACACCACCCTATTAACCTATTGTTATCAATGTTTTACTTGTTCTTTTGCTGCTTTGTTCCCATTGTTTTATGTCAACTGTGTCTTCTACACTGAGTAAGAGCCCTGAGATCTAATTGATAATTCTCCCCTTTTATTTGCTACACATTTCCTTGAAAATGGGTCATAGGAATTTGGTATTTGATCAAGAAAAGAACTCCTACCTAATGAGTTTGTCTGAGTATTCTCATTACCTGTTTGCTGGATAATGTATGGATATTAGAGGGAGAAGTTGTGCATTAATCACTTTTGGGAGTTAAAGAGTTAAGTGACCACCCTGTGAATATATAGGTTTCAGTGGCCTTGATGTTTTTGGATTAATGTAGTTCTAAAATACACTTCACACAATTACCAACCAATTTCATGTTTTTGTGGTACTGGTCCAGGTTTTCCACCACCAGCTGGGAGGCTTGCCCTAATCCAGCAATCATGCCAGTGTTTTCTGTTCCTGGTCTAAAATTCCTTTCTTGTCCTCCACCGAAAAACATGGGGTGTATAGGGGTGTCTCTTGTTGGATTTCTAACATACAGGGCTCCTGGTTAGAAAAAATAGCTGGTTATTAATTTTGCTGCGCGAGGCTATTTTTTCAGATAAGGAATGTGCAACTTGGTAATTGTGGAGAACAGCTCCCAAGAAAAACCTGTGGGCTGACAGATAATCAACAGGCCACTGGGAGGTTACATGAGGATTAACATCTAAGACAAAAGTATGGCTGTACAGATCACTGACAGATTAGTGACTATCACCTAAGAGTCTGCCAACTGTTGGCTGACTGTCTGCCAACAGGTTTTCTCAGTGAATTCTTCACAATTAAGTGCAACTTAAATATGACATATAGACCTTAGTGAATTACATGTAGGCTTTACTGTTTCAATGCCCTAGAGAAAGAGAGGGACATTACTCATCTAAAATGATAAGTTATTATCCCCAAAAAAATTTAGATTTGATAGAAATTACATTTTACAAAAGTCACCAGGTGGAGGATAGAGAATATCAACTGAAATTTTCAGGTAAAAAAAATGGGAAGTTTTCATCTTTATAGTAATTTCCAACACCACTGGCAGCCGTTGTTTTATCTTGTTATATGCTCCCTCCCCATTGGTAAGGGAGGAAGCATGTAGTGTGACAAGACTAAACAATGCCTATGAAAGTGGCTAAGTAATATTGAATTTATTTAAATTTCATCACAAAAAAATTAATATACTAGCTGGTATACAGCTGTTTTGAGAAAGCTTGTTGAAAAAAAAAAAGTGAAAAATTGCATGTAATAACCCAAAAGGTATTTTGGGTAGTTTTTTTGGGTCACAGTTCCTTGATTTTCAAGTAAATCTGAGAAATTTTCACCATGAGGACAAAGAATCCTGGATTTAACTAATTAATTTATACATTTAACTTATTAAAATTCCCTGATTACCAGATACCCAGATTACCTTTCAAAGTTGATGCATGCACATTTTTGCTTTTTTCAAATAACCTTTCCTAAAAGAGCTGTATGATCCCACTTGAAGCAGTGTGTGAAAAGCCCTATGTGACTCTGATAGACTGCTAGGTTCTCCTTCAAAATTTTCTCATATTGCCTTGTGGAGCACAAGGAGAATCTTATAGTACATCACAAGTCACTTAAAGGCTTAAGTCTACACACCCCATCAATTCTAATTTCGTACCAATTCGAGGTCCATAGAACTTGTGTCCCACAACTGTGAGGTAGTCTACTTCCAAGTCATTCACATCCACTTTAATTTTGCCAATGGCTTGTGCAGCATCAGTATGGACAAGAATCCTGGGCATTTCCTGAGACAGACGACTCTTCATTAACCCCCTAATAGCCTTGGAAATGTTTTCAATTGGCTGAAAAATAAAAGATGTCTTTCCTTAATCAGATACAATTATTGCTCAATTACTTACAAAAGATCCTTGCTAGTTCCTGCTCGAAAGAACCTCAACCACTCCCACCCTCACATAAGTATGCATATTCTCTATGCTGTTTGTCATAGATTTCCTAAAGTACTGACCAGGAGAATTTAACAATCAAGAACTTCTTCAGTTGGTGATCATTTCCTTTATTCTCATGACCTTACTTTGTGATTCAAGGATGATATTGAAGAGAGAAATTGGAAGCTAGTCACTCTTAGGGATCAAATGGTTAAGGAAAGAAAAGCTTCATATATGATGAACAGAGTGTAACCTTTTAGCTTTGTTACAGATGTTATCCACCTTAAACTACCCCAAATCAAAAAACTTCTGATTCTCATGCTTATCAATGCTAATGTTTGTACCACAGTTTTCAACAATGAAAAAAACCTTGATCATTGTATAGTTACGAATGTGAGCAATGTAGTTCATGGGCCATTTGGCTGCTGTTAATTAGGCTTATCTCTTTCTCTGGTGAAACTTGTACATGTCCTTAATAGCTGAATTGTTTGAAATATCTCTGAAGGGAATATGGCTGAGTTTTTGGAGTTATGGACTTGTGGTCTGTGGTCATTAACCCAGTTCAGTTGTTAATTATAGAACAGCTGGTTTTAGTGATATATTTGCTCAAGCAATTACATAGATTCTTGCAATCTGGCGAAACAAGGATTGTTCTGTATCTTGCTATAATTAGCTTGTGAGAGGTGACTATAGCAAGGGCTTTATTAGCTTCTTGCTGAACATTTCCAGCCTGTTTAAAACTTTCTGGTAAATGAATGTGGACACAACCACTACAGTATATCCCATATCATTCAATTTTTTCTCTCTTTAATATGGAGTTTCAAGGTTGATCTAGTGATGTGTGCACCCAACTCCATGTCCATGTTCTTTGATGCATGAAAAGGTTAGAAGAAATACTACTGACAATAATCACCTGAGCAGTTATACTGAAATAATTAATACTGTTAAATAGTTCCCTTGCCATTCCTTGAGCAAATGATTCAAGGATTCCCCTTTTTCCCCACCTTACCCCTGAAGAGCCCCATTGAAATTGTGGTAAATTAAGTAATCATATGTTTGCCATATTTCATGGCTATAAAAACCTTTAGGCTGCAGTGGAAAAAGATTTTTCTTGATTGTTGTAATCTTCTGGCTATGAGGCTTCTTATACTGAGTTCCTTTATCTGGGTCTTCAAATAACAGAAAGATTTTAAATAAGATTGATCATGTTACCTGAATCACCCCTGTTTCATTATTTGCCATCATGACAGTCACCAAACAGGTGCTTGGTCTAACTTTATTTAATATTGCCTCTGTCGTCACTGCTCCAGAGTCTTGAGAGGCTGGGACAAAGGTCAGTTCTATCTTGCCTTGCTCTGCAAGATGCAAGAGAGGGAGTTGGATCGAATCATGTTCAAGATTTGATGTTATCACATGGGGTTTCATATCAGAAATATGGTTTTCCCTTTCTTTATGAAATTCATAGAAGTGTTCCAGTGCTGAATGGATCACCATGTTGTTGGCCTCAGTACCACCTGATGTGAAAATGATGTCACCCTCTAATGCACCAATCATGTTGGCCACTGAAAGCCGAGCTTCTTTGATCACGTGACCTGCTTTCTTTCCTGCTGCATAAGAGCTACTGGGATTTCCCCAAGCATCTCGCAAAGCATCATGGATTGCTGTTAGGACAGATGGTTCCAGAGGAGTTGTGGCATTGTAATCCAAATAAATTTTAGGCGAGCTTTCTGCGACTCCATTTTCCTCATTCACGTCCATTTTAATAGTCTTGATCCTAATAACTGTCCATATACCTCTGCTTTTCTCTCGACGGTGAGTTGATAAATTGGTGAGTTAAAATATATGCTGAATAGTGACAGAACAGAATGGACACGAATTCTTAAATTTGACTGTGCGGAAAAGGCTATGAAATGAAATTTCGTGCGAAACTAGTTATCAGGCTCCGGTGAGAGCAGTCATGAGTTGGTCAGGTCATGAGTCATCATCGACTCACCCTACCCTAGTAAGGAGATGTTCAGTTATGGCGGAAGAAGATGAAGTAGGTCTGGTTGATTTTGAGGAAATCCCTGATGTTTCGTACGACCCAAGAAGCGAACTGTCATCTTTTCCCCCAGAAGATGAACATACAACGTCTGGTGGGAATTTTTCGTTCCTTCATTCCTCTGGAAGGACTTCAGACGAACAGCAAAGAACTGTTCCAGATCTGATACTCGCCGTCTACGTCGTGCACTTTGATACAAGACGAGGTAATACGCACGGGTTTTTTTTTTCCTCAGCACCCAACTATATTCAAAACTTTTCTATTTTCGGGATCTCCGATGATAAGGTAGATTGTGAACATAACACTTAAACAAGTTACTGAATGTTATCTCTGATGTTGGTCAGTAGGGCAAAAACATACATAAATTTATTTTCCAGGCAGTTCAAATTTCATTATCTTTTTCCAATTTCCTCCTCCTAACGATGCATCTCAGCTACATTTAGACGTGATCTGGCTTTTTGAAACTAAGGTTTAATCAAAAAAGCTTTCCTTGGTTTAAGCCACTTGACATTTATCATCAAAGTTCTTTTTTAACATGAGGTCAATTCCTAGTAGTTCCTTTTTAAAGTGAGAAAGGGATAATTTCCCATTTCCTTTTACCTTCCCAAGGCCAGGAGCAATATCCAATCAATAGGTTTTTACTCTTTACTTCAGAGCTTTAGGTGTAAAGTGGTTGCCATTTAAATTCCCCTTTTTCAGGTTTTACTTCTTTTAGCATGAGTATACTTTGACATGTAAGTAATCTGAAAGACATAATGGCTCTGGGCTCAGTTGTTCAAGGACAGATATCACTATCCAGTGGATAAGTCGCTATCTAGTAGATAAAAGTTAACAAAAGGTTCTGTGCTATCCACCAGAGGGCGATTTATCTAGTTAATGGAATTAAACACCCTTCAAACAACTGAGGCCTGTTCTTTTTCTCTTCTGTTATTAATTTTTTTTCCTCCATTTTAGTGTCAAATTGTGAATGTTATTAAGAGCATTTACTCAGAAGCCCTGTGGTTTCTACCAGCCTTCCTTTCCATTCTTATTGTATTGTTCATAACACTTGCAATTTCATTTTTACTGCCAATAAAGCTGGCATAAATGTAGCTTGAATTTGTAAGACTTTGAAAATGTTTTATGTCACATTACCTATCTCCCTCATAAAACATGAAACTGTCAGCAATAGGAACCACAGGTGCCTCCTTTTCCTTGTGGTGCATAGCTGTATTTGAAATCGTAATCCACAAGTAAGAGCACATCAAGTTTGTTACTGAGATTCAGACAAAATGTATACATCTTACCTAGGAAATGAAATTGAATGGAAACATCCCAAATCAGTGGATCTAACTGGTGTGGAATTCAAAGCTTTGGCTAGTGGTTCACATACAATAACAAGAGACTTTATGTAAGTACTAAAGAGTAGGATTCATTTTATTCTCTGTATATTCCAACTTCAAGAGATATTAAGAGTGGTTTTACTAAGGGAAATAAGTACATGAAAACTGAACTTTCTTGCTTCATTGCTTAACCCTTTAACTCCCATGAGTGACCAAGACAGAATTTCTCCTTACAATATTGATACAATATGAAGTAAGCAAGTGATGAGAATTTTTTTAATAATGCAGTCTTGGCATTCAACAACTTTTTTTATGTCACAAAATAAACTTAAAAAACTTTCTTGAACTTGACTCAATAGGGGTGATTTGGACAATGAAAATATCATTTTATCAGTTTGTCCTTATTGTTAAATCCACTTGCAAACATTTGTCTAAAGTTCTTAAGGCAAACTATCTTTTTCCTGTGATAGATACTTCAAAACCAAAGATGGTCTCTATGGGTTGAGTTGTTTTGAGCGTATAGCTGTTGATAATGTGGCTGAGAGAGGAGCTAGAATGAAATCAGTAGGGATTCTTTGTGCAAAGTACACATCTCTACATGAACACATGTCATTCCTCGAAGAGGAAGTAAGGTAGTGTGACCTTGTTTTTTGTATCCCAATCAACCCTTTAACTCCCATGAGTGACTAAGACAGAATTTCTCCTTACAATATCAATACAATATGAAGCTAGCAAGGGATGAGAATAAAGAAAATTATCAATTGAGGGATTATTGGTAGATCCAATACCAAATTCTTTAATATAAAATCATAAGAATTGTATGGCAGGCAGTAAAGAGAATTACTCATGAGATCTTGGAATAAAACTGTAAGTAGGTTTTGAGATAGAGATGGGATGAAATGTTTTTTTCAAAATTAAAAACCTTTTGTACCCAAGTGCAATCCCTATATTGTCTCTATGTTTTAAATTACTGTAATATTGAACTCTCACTAAAATCTATTGGATTTTGTTGTCTAAGGCCTGCTATATGTTGTGGTTCAAATGTTACTTATCTTGGTGTGAAATTGTTAGAGCAGTTTCATTTTGATTTTCCTTTGTTTCAGCTTGTTACTGAAGATTATTAGTTTAAAGAAAAAATAATACAAATTTAATTGGCTTAAAAAAAATTGAAACCTTGAATTTTATATCACTCTAATTTTCATCTTAAACCTTTGCAAGTACTTTTTATATAATTTGCAGGAGGCAGCTTGAAAACCCTGGACATTATGAGGATCTTGAAAACTATTACAATTGCTATAAGAACTGTGTGCTTAGAAATAATTACATTCCATCTCCAACTCATGAGAAGGCTCCTGGACTGGAGGAGATACCAGTGTTAAAGGTATTCCTAAATTTATTCCCAAATTTGAATTTTGTTAAAGGAGTTGTGTCACTGTGTGATGATTCAATTAAATCAGAGAATTACTCCTAAAACAGATTAAAAGCTTGAAGCGATTGCTCACCTGAGTAATCAAAAACCAAGGAGGACATGAAGAATCAAAAATAATATTCCCATGGAAAAAAAATCAAGAACTTGTGATATGTTATTTTCTTCCTTTACATCAAGCAAGCTGTTAGAGCAAATATTTGCTTGAAACTTTGGGGAAAAACTATCTTCAAACAAATTTCTCCTTTAAATTTTTATAGGCAAATTATAATTTAAACAAAATTACACTCACAATTTTGGGTTGGCTGAAACAAAAGCATCTTAAAAGTTTGACAAATTTTCTTGAAATTGCTGAGGTGAGCTAAATTTCATCATTTTACAATGAAAAGTCCAGAAATTCAGCAGGATTGCTTAATTTTGAGCTTGCTGGTAAATAAGTATTACTTATGCACAATACTGTATGTAGTAACTTAAAGTGCAACATACCACACCACACCATGCAGCTGAATGTTATATTCTGTGAACAAGAGTCCACTTTGTCTCTAACTATGATATAGTTACAATCACCAGCTGAAGTGACTATTGGCTTTTGACCTGTGCTGAAAAACCTTAAATTGTTGTCTGATGATTTAAATGATTCCTTTTTATGCTTTTTTTTGGTTATCAGATCACGCATCCAGCTGGATGTTTCCCTCAGTTTATCAAGTTCTTTGGAGAGCAAATTTTTGTTCTCTGGAAATTTGTGTTGTTACAGAAACGTATTTTATTCTTTGCACCTCCCCCTGTTGGAGTGGCTTGCTATAGAGGTAAGGACCTATCATATTGAAAAAATGAATTGTTGGGGAGTAATCCCTTCCACTTCATTTCAGGGATTACTCGGCAATGATTCCTTTCAGCTGTGGTAAATTACAGTTGAATACAATTGTATTTAAGAAATGGTCAGCATGCAGTGTACAACCATCAGGTGGTGGATGAGTGTGGGAGGTTGCCAAGCATAAAAGAAGCTTAAGAGTCGCACTTGGCTCTTGCCATGTGGGACTCTTACACTTCTTTTGTGCTTGGCAAACCTCCTAAGTGCGTCCATAACTCGCTGATTGCGTGCTGCACTCTAACCATTTCTTTCATGACATTGGGACTTGAAAACATCTTTCATTTCTTGTAGGGAAAAAAAAGCAAAACAAACTGACGTCAGCATGCAACCCATGGGCAAAGGGATCAAGCATATTAGCCAATAGGAGTGCATGCTTTTTTATAGCTTTGTTACAAATCATTATGTCAAACCAGCAAGACACTGTGCTCCAAGATATTAAGGTTATATATGTGGGAGGATTGAGATACATCAGTGTTGAACCTCAATGTTTCTTGCAGGAAAAAATGCTTTCCACTTTAAAGATGGTTTAATGTCTGTTAGAAATCTTTCAATCACATCTGCACTGCCCCAATTCATTTTGTAACGAGAGCCAGTCTCTCATCTGCTAGCAAACTTATTGCCATCATTACACGCACTTTGTAATGTGATACTCTTCATAGCTGCTTATATTGTAGCATACTACCAATAATTTTAAAGAAACCAACATTTATAACATTGTTATACTCAAATCATTTGATAAACAAAATTCTTTACCCAACAGTTTACAGTGCTTGTTTGTTGGCAAGTCATGGGATTCCATTTGGTTTTGAAACTGGTAGCAACCCATTATTTTTTACAAATGTTTGTGACTTGAGTGCACTACATGAAGAACACAAATATATTGCATGTAAGTTTTATTTTGTCATAAATAATGCGCTTAATTAATATTTTTTTACTTGTGTAAGTTCACCTATTTATTATTATTGAATTTTTATTATGGGCAAAAGACTTGGGAATATTCTTTTAGTTGTCTTTAGTTTTATATCTGGAAAGGAATACATCCTATAAATTAATAATGGTCTAAATAGAAACATATATTTACATATATTAAGCATACCTGTTTTCAATGAGAGCACTATCAATGCATAGATTAATCAAGTAGATCCTGAATGTTTTAGCATGGAACTTGTTGGTATAAGTCAGTTTGTTGTTTAAAAAGCTCAGTGATGAAGGTGACCTCAGAAAACAAATTTAGCTGAGAGGCAGGGTGTAGGAGTTGACCTGGGACCTCCAAATTCATAATCAAATACTCTGAACTATGGCACACCTTTCCAGTCAATATTCAAACTATTTCAATATGTGTTGCATTGCAATATGTGGTGCCATTTTCTATTCATTTATAAATAAAGAATGCATTTAAAAACAAAGAGAATGAAAACAAAATCAATTGGCTAAACACTTACATATAAATCAATAGGCACATAAATAAAAAATAAAAAAGCCAATTAAAAAAAAAAAATATGGAAAGGAAATAGAAAATATGGTACAGAAATATTGATAATGCATCACATGTTAAAATAATTGAATATTGACTTGGAAGGGAAGCTGGATCAATATCAGTATCTGGGCAACTGCCCACCTACCCCTCCCCTAACTCAACAACAGTCAATTGACAACAACTTAAGGTTAATGTTGGGTTAGGGGAGGGGTAGGTGGGCAGTTGCCCAGATACTGATATTGATCCGGGAAGCCATACCAAACCACTGGTTTATACTGCCCTTTGCTGAGCAGTGAATCTTTGCCTGAGTTGGGTACGTTTTTCAGGGTAGCAATATTACAAGTTGGAAAAATCTTTTAAAAAGCTGTCTTTAGATGTTTGAAAGTTGAAAAAGTGATCCTCCACACCACTTATTGCTTAGTTAGGCTAGTTTCATAGTGCTGAATTTAATCGTCTCAAAATCTCTCTTTTGTTGCTTGTTAGGTACTACAGAAAAGATATTTGAGAGCAAGTTAGAGGTGTATGATGTTTATGTTGATAACCAGAACATCAAGTGCAAACCACACTTGAGTTGGATCGCAAACTTTAATAATGCAGACAGGGATAGGTTAGAAGAACTGGACTCTTTCAGGTGAGTACTGTTAGTAACCATGCAAAGGAACAAGCCGATGCATGGATTAATTGAACCGTTCACGTTGGTCTTTTGACTTCAACGAATATTGTCGCTTGCGCATGATTGGTGTAAACTGGTCACTTGTCTGAATATGCTGTGGCTGAATAGGGGAAATATCCGATGATTCTTCCCAAATTGAAAACGCTTTGTTCAACTCTTTGTTTAAAGTCAGTTCAATAAGGAAGAGGGTTATGTAGCTGATCTAGATGAACAAACGAAGAGCCGAGAGGACATTGAACACAGTTTTTCTTAAGCTTCACTATTGGATAACTGTTCGCTGCTCACATCTAATAATGCCATAGACAAATATTCGATTATGTTTCCCTACTAAATGACAACCATTGTTTACTTATAAATGTTCTCTAGTAACTTTATGAGACGGGCATATTTACTCTTTAGTACAATTTCTGGTCTACATTCTGTTTTCAAGTTGTGATAGAATTGCAGTGGCTTATTTAATTTTTTTCTTGGTCTTATCTAAGCCATTAATGGTCAATCTCTGATAATTTGAACTTAGAAAAATTCACGATAAACAGAAGTAAATTATTTTTCTACTTGTACATGTTAAGGCAACAACAACTGTACACAGGAGGTGAAGTAACAGATGATGAAAAAATGTATACCAGGTGAGTAAAGATGTACCTTTTTCAATTAGAAGTTTCCCCCCGTGTTTGTATTTTGACGATTGGTGACAGCGTACTTGATGATCAGAGCCTGAAAGGCTGAAGTGAAAGCCCTGCAATGCTTTTTTTCTTTTGGAAAGAAACTCACAATTAATTCAAAACGCGACTTTATTTTTCATTTCTGCTTTAAGTTTTATGACACAGCCATGCAAGCGAGGTAGGCTTTTTCCGGTGTCCCAGCGGATTTGCACCCCCCATAGATTTGGTCTCCCTGGACCTCCATCATCGACTCAGGAAAAATTCTGAGTACCCGTTAGGAATCGAACCTCAGAGCTTCGGATTCTGCGCTACGATGCTCTACCACTGAGCCAAAGAAACTCTATGGTGAGCAAGGCCATTACGAAGTTCGTATATGACACGTGTCCTGCATATTGCATGGATCAGCAATGTCGACAGTGCCATATATGAATTTCTTAATGACCTTGCTCGCCGTAGAGTTGCTGTAGCTCAGTGGTTCAGTGAGGTTCGATTCCTCACTAAGACTCAGAATTTTTTTCTTTGTCCCATGCTCGTGACAAGACAAAAAGACAACTTTCGCTATTTTTTTACCCGAGCTCAAAATTTACTATTTTACTCTATGGCTCGTCCTGCAAAGAGCTAACGTCGTTCATTTCAACCCTATCCGACAACATATGCGTCAGTTTTCATGGTCTATACTAATAGGATTGCATGAGCAGGGTCGTAAAGGTCATTTGACGAATAGATCAAAGATTGACCTGTTCATGATTACGATTAACGAACTGAAGCCTTGAAAATATATCAGGCTTTGACGAGAGTAGAGGCCTTGTGCTCCCGTTATGAAACAGTAGGTTGGGTGCGAGGCCAATTTCAATTTCAATGGGTTCTTAGTTTCCTTAAAAGGGGAAAATTAATTCTTTTGCTGAAGATTTTAATGCCTATCTCTTTCCTCCTAGGTTCTTTGTGAATTTAAACAATTCACTTTTCCAGATGCTTTTCGAGGTCGCGTCTACTCAAGACAGAGTTTTAACACCAGACATGATCCGAAGCATAGGACTTGATCCAAAGGGAGATCTTCGTTTTCTGTCGGATTTGGTGGAACTGTATGGAATTAATGTCTTGATTCCAGAACCAAAATGCTGCCCGTTTTACTCACCTCTGTAATCACAGTTCTGTGTGCAGACCTCTTACTCCTCAGGGGGGTCTGGTGAGAAAACATCCAGTAGCTGTACGTCACGACATCGACAGCTTAGAACAAATCTTCAGAATATGTTCTGCGCGTGCACTGTTCGCGACAAGAAACAAACGTGCTACGATTGTCAGATGCTTGCTTAAAGCAAAATATTCAAATTATTTCATAGATATTGGAATTTATTTCTCAAATAATCGTAGTGTTATCTACCTTCAAAGCCCCAAAATTAGACTCTTTTAGATGCGCATTTCAGGGATAAAAATGCATAGACTCCATTCTTGATTCAGGTATGAATCGTGAATATTTCTTAATTGCGTACAATAGTTTTTTGCCTATCGAGCCGAGTTACAAATTTCTGTACGCTGTAACACTTTAGTGGTGAGTAATGGTTTTGGTTACAAAGGACGTACCTCTAAAATAGAATTTTCAAGGTCCACCTAAAGATAATTCATCCCAGTCCATAGGAAACAAAAATTTTAGTATGTCATGTTTTAGTGGAAATTTTTGAAAATTCCATATAGAAAGAGACCATAAAGTTTATTAACCTTTTAACCCCTGAGAGTGACTGGCTTCTAAGTTCTCCTTTCAGCATCACCCTTAAATCAAATGTTAAGGTCAAGAGAATTAAGTAAATGATCACTAATTTAAGAAACTCCTGATTGTTAAACAAATTCTCCTTGTCAGTACCATAGCTCTTCCAAGAGTAAAGAGGTAAATACTAGTGATGTTGTGCAGGTGAAAAAGTAAAAAGATATGTATGGAGTAACAATACACGATACGATATAATATGCACTTCGCCTACTTCACGAAAGAGAGGGCATATAAAAACGCGAAAGTGTGCCGTTTCTCCTTACAATTACTAAGCGTCGTTCGCTTACTGTTTTGCATTTTCCACTCGGCGAGAGACTGAAACAGGCTAAATTGCACCAGGAAGTGCAATGCGGACATAATGAAAACAAAGGTTTGGCTTCATGCGTTTAAATGACAAGTACTGTTTTATGCGTGAGAAATAAAATACACTAAGGCCACAACACAGGAGGTCCCTTATTTTTACTCACACCATCCCTTCTTTCCGTCGGCCAATTAGCACGTTTTACCGAAGACCGAGGGTGAAAATCTGACATGGCTAACAAAAACAATTAAGGAAGTCAGTGGAAGTGAAGTAAACAAATGGGCTACCGAAGAGGTTTATTCAAATGTCTAAAGTTAAACTTTGAATACGATCTAGTATCTTAGTACGATTTTCAACAGCTCTTGGCGGCTATGGGACGTATCAATAATGTCAAATGATCAGCCAATACGCCGTTTCCAAGAATATTGTTTGTATTTACAAAGTTTGTAGGCCTAAGATTACAGTAATTACAGTTAATTTGTTTGTGACAACCCTTTTCACTTCTCATTCTGTTTAAATGAAAACTATGCACTTTTCGACCTAATGAGGAGACACGAAATTTAACAATTATTCATCGATGTGGAGGTGAATAAAGGTGCTTCACGGCTAGGTAAATATCCACCACTTGCACCGACACTGAGGTGAATAATTGTTAATTAACATATACCACACAGAAACCAAAAACTTAGTTTATTTCTGTCATTGTACCACAAATTGTTGGAAATTAGACTTAAGACGCGCGAATTTGGCTCACTGGCAGCTCAGAAGAAAATAGTATTTGCTATTAACCTCCGAAGTAGCCAATCAGCGGGCGCGAAAAGTACTTTTCACCTGCTGTGTGGTATATACTAACAGCTTATATGACGAGTATCTTGAAAAACAATTTTTTAGTTTTAGTTTGATGGTCAGTTTCAAACATTGCGAGAATACCAATGCGTCCTTCGACAGTCACTGTGAGCTCTACTAAGGAACTAAAACCTTTCGCACCTTGCTCTAAGCGACGCACGATTTCACCTTCTTTAGTATATATAAGAACCTGAAGCTCTTCTGTCTGTGGACGGAAACCAGCGACAACAATGTGTTCACTTGGCCGGTGAAATGCTGTGTAAAATGGATAACCGAATTCTAACATTTCTGTCAATTTAAAAATGTGTTCGCCGTTTTCATTTAAAACGTGAACACAGGAATCGCCATTATCGCCACTATCTGTCACCAATGTTCGACCATCACTTGCAGCGGCGATATTAATTGGTTTCTTCAGTATTCCGTCACCAAAGTCATCAACAAATTGACCATCAAACTGATAAACTTGAATGGTTGGTTTCCTCTGTGAGTAATTCGGTTGTGTCATCAGAAGTATCAGTACTTTGCTTCTGTCACTGACTGTCAGTGATGGTCTGAACGCAACGGTGCTAAATTCCTCTTTTAGTGAAAACTTGTGCAGGGGTTGAAAATCACAACCAAACACGCACACTGCTCCGGGATTGTTATCTTTTAAGATTGACTTGACACAAGGCTTTAGTTCGACTAGTACATAGATCTTGCCATTCAAATCAGTAGCTACTTGACATATGCAGTACACATCGTCACGAGAGGCATCCGACATGAGAGAGAAACTGTTCAAAACTTTACCTCTGCTGTCAAATAACTTGGCTCTTTTATCTCCGTCGTCGTTCGCGACGAGGAACTGTCCAAGGCTATTTGAAGCAATGCTTACTGGCCACATTAAACTTCCGTACTCTCCCCGTAGTAATTCCAAAGTTCCGAAGCAGTGCTCCATGCCTCTTTTCTTCAGGACTTTTAACACTCTGTCATTTTGTAGTGGCGAAACTTTTGTTCCTCCGATTTCAACACATGGCCAGTTTGACAGCTCCTTGTGACCGAAGTCCGCCATGAGCGCGATATTCAATATCACGCGATTTATATGACACACAGTGGAGATCAGGTCTCTTCGTGGGTCTTTGCTAAATGCAGCCTTAAGCCCTTTCTCGAGTTCAACTTTAAAACCTTTTTGAACAGCTGGCAGACTATTCAACTCTTCAAGGCACACTATGCAGGCTGCTATCGAGTATGTCGGATTGTCTACAGTTTCTAATATTGTTGCCATAACACGATACTGCATGGATAGAAGGCGGTCAGAGGTTGACAAGGCTGTGTTGGCGAAAGCTTCCGTCGCCTTCCTTCTTGCGTCTTTGAATCTGTCTTTTGCCCTAGATAGCGCCCCGGATGCTGATGCACTAAGATCCCTAATCTCTAGCTCACTTATTCCTTTTGTAAGAGAAAATGTTTCAGCAGCACAAGTCATCGCTGTAGCAGCTTGTGTTGTTGTTACGGCGTTGTTATTTTCGCCTTTGGGCCTCGCTTCGTCGAACTTCTCATACAAAAACTTGATTCCTTCGTTAAAGAAGCTTATACTTGCTAACAAATCCTTTCTTGCTAATCCATCCAGCTTTGATTTGATTTCTTTGATTTCACGAATGATGAAATCACGACACTTTTGATCTGTTATGTCACCTTCTTCCAACGAGTCTGCTAACTTGTCCCTGAATCTATTTCCAAGCAAGCCGATGGTAAGTTTAAACACGGCTATGACGATTGAAGACATCTTGTTAGTTGAACAAAGGTTGGAAATTCTTGCTCCGCGATAAATGTTCCGTCTTACTCCCAGCAGTTTTGCAAAGTCCCTTCATTTAAGGATTTCGCTTACGAAGCACATCGGTAGACAGAGAAGTAAACAGTACAGTTACGCTTCCGCGAATTGATTAAATTCTCGGGAATTATGTTTCAAGTATAAATAAACACGTTAACTGTGGTATTTCTTGTAGAGCAGCTTTCAGTCCCTGCTAATCTTGTTTTTGGCCATTTGCTTCCTGTATTCTCTTGGTCTAGTATGAAAAAGCCATTTACAGCGCAGAAACTCTTCTTAAGCGAAAAAATTTTCCGTACATAACTCAATGCAGACCGGCACAGTTCATTGCGTATCACTTATGGAACTCTCTGGATCTCGCTAGTTTATTGTCTAACTGAATTCGCAGGAGTTTTATTGAAAGCTTACGCAAATCCATCGGCTCTCACTAGGTCATGAAGAACAAAAATAGTCGAATTGTTTTCATTCTTTGCATATCCTGTTTTTGGTCAGCATCTTGCTTGTTAGTTTGTCTGGTGCCAAGAAGAAAAGCCTTTTACAGGACAGAAACTAGTCTTACTCTTTGGCTTCGCAAAATATTTTTTCTTAAAGAATTCTGTCAGCAAAGCACATCTTGAAACAAAGAAGTAGACTTCACAGACTTCACAGTTCATCAGTTGTGTATGAATAATTATTAATGGAACTTGCTAGTTCAATTTCGCCTTCATAAACTAAATGAAGAGTGGAAATTATGTTTCAAGCACACTGAAACACATTGGCCGTTGACGGGTCGTGTGGCAAGGGACACAAATCGATTTGGAATAACTGTTTTTAATTTTTATTAATCCTGTTTGTAGCCAGTGGAGTGCTTAATCTCTTTAGAATCGGGAAGTAAAAGTCATTCACAGCTTGTCTGCTTTGTCTGCGAACAAATAGGACCATTCATGCCTACCATTTTGCCTTAGGACCAATAGATCAAGCGAGCAGTGATTTGCTTCCAAGACAGACGCGCTTGTTTTTCAGCATTGAATCGGTGCTTGTACAAATCTTTCGTGCAACTTTTTCTTTATGGTTTTCGGCTTAAGACACCTACACTGACAAAATAAATTTTGATCAGAGCTCAAGAATGGCCATGGCTGAATTAGGGCTCTGATTATGACTAATCAGAATAGAGAATAGCGAGCAAATGAATTTTGTTTCTCCTATTTTACTCTCAATAAAGCTTTATTCGCTAAGAAAGAAACAGCACCAAAGTCTGCTCAGTGCAAACTTAATTAAATTGATGACGAGGGTCAATAATCAGAGATGGAGACCTTTAATGTAACTGAAATAAAATACAAGGTGGTCTTAAAGTGTCCGTAACTTATTGATCGTTTCCTTTATTCTTATTGCCTGTCTTGACATTTGAGGAGATCTTAATGCACCCAGAACTGGCCGGAAAGTCGGTACTTTTCGTTTTGGTACATGAATTAGAGCGATAGTTGAATGAGAAGACTATTACAGTAAAAAAGTCGGAAGGAAGCTTCTTTCGGCAGACAAAACAGATTTATAGTTTTACTTATTCCTGCTCTGTTTGAGTTGTCTAGTCACCAGTAAAACCACCAGAGTCCGTTGTTATAGCAACCATAACATATAGGAAGTATTTTGGTGGAAAAAGCGCAGGTTGATGTCATAGATAATTCATTGACACATCGACAAAACCCTTGTAATAACTTCTGTTCTTCGTATACTTCAGTAAGAAACTACTTTTTTAAAAAATCCCACGCACAAAGTTATTCAAGTGTGGTTGCAAGATGGCTGAACCTTGAGCGAGCTTTTCCTAACGAAAAGCGCGTCTCCAGGCGATGATATCTTTAAACGAGTTCAAGAACACGATACATGGTCAGATCACCGTGATTTATGGCTTTTGTAGATCCTGTCTTGATTCTCGGCCTGTTTGCGTTGAGATTCACGTTTTGCTCTGGTAGAGTTTGTGAGGCGGATAGAAATACAAACGGCTGCAGTACACCTATGGGAATCAACGCACCGTTTAAGAGAGAGTTCACGCCGGCTTGTGACAAACACGACATATGTTATGGATGTGTAAGTGTGTTTCGCTTGAGTGCATAACGAAGAACGTGTCCGTTGAATTGCGTTACGTCGTAATTTGTGGAACTCTTCACCAAAAATGTTATACTTTGTGTCCAAAATGGGAAGGAAACGATCAATGTCATTCCTCGTTCACAGTTATCATGTTTACTACTGAAATTGCTTTGAGAAAATTGGTTATTTATGTCACAGTAACAAATTCCGTCCTCTTACATAAAGACCGAAAATTTATCTAACCTCGAATATTGATAAAGGTGCCATGATTTCCCCGCAAAGGAGTAACGAATATATTTGATCTGACAGCCATGTTATCATGGGCTCAAAGTTAAAAGACCTTAAAAGGAATTATGCGTATTCTTTGCGACAATGGACTCTTATAATAAAAAAGAAACTTGAACATTTTTTCTAGGTTATTATTAAAATTCGCATAACGTCCGTAGCCAACGTCTTAGAGTTGCGCGGCTTTGGAGATCATACCTGCCAAGAGAAAAAACATACAATTAAGTTGTCTGTGTATAAAGGCAAGCTTCCACCACATCAAACAGATTCAGATATTAAAAAAGGGACATTAGAATATGAACAGTGCTCTCTATATATTTATTGGCACGAAAGCCATTCAAATTTTTTCCACTGAATTTTAAATTTGAAGAGCGCTAGGCAGTTAAAATAATGGAGTTTTTAAAGCGTATATTCTATCCCGAGAAGTCAGAGTTATACTCATAAACATATTAATACCTGTTAAATGATATGTTCCACAGGGTAACCACTATAACTGGACTCGAGAGGCCTGCGACAAAGCGCTACTTCGCGACATGATACAGTCCTGCCATAGGCGTGTACACAGCAGAACCAGGCGTGGCGTTATGGATGCCTTGTTGGACATCTGGTATTTCTTTCAAGGAATCAGCAAAGAAGAGAGAAGATGCAAATTGGCTGCGGAAATGTATTATAAAATTGTACGCACTTTTGGTGCCTCGCACTTCGAGAAGAAAGATCACATCTATTGCATTAACACTTGCGCGGATCAACATGGAAGTCCTTTTGTAGAGCTATAGCAGTCTCATGTTCATACATGCCTGTGCTGCAGGTCATCAATTTAACAAGGAGACCAATTGCTGAACAGAAGTGAAGACTCGATTCCTGGGGATAAAATCTTTTAAGGGTTATATCATTACTATCATCAATTCTGATTCAGGTTCAGAATAGTCAGGATTGAGAATTAGAGAATTGACGTTTAGTTTTCTCAAGGTAGACCTTGAAAACATTACGAGCATTCTTGGTACATTGCGAGCGAAGAGGGAAATCATGGAAAGCTAGGAACATCACTGACTTCTAATAACAGAATTAGGTTTGTGACTCATAGGGCCGGAGAAAACTTGACGCCGATCGGTGGTCATGATCTCAAGGGTTATTTACGCACTCCGCGCGCATGTCTGCTCGAGCACGGACTTTAGGAACTGAACACGAATACACGCCAACAATACTAAAACCTTATATGTGGCACAGAACTTGAGACAACAGCAGAGTATAACCTGCGATCAGACGTTCTTTTTTCGGAGCGCGAAAGAGTAACAACACAAGTAGAGAAGAGTCCGTCTTTCTCGCATTTCCTTCCCCCCCCCCGAAAAAAGAACACTTGATCACATGTTTTGCAGTGCATAAAAGAGAGAATTAAATTTCCCATGATGGCCAGTTTGAAATGATAATTAATATTACGCCTCAAGAGTACACAAGGATGCTCAACCCAGCACTGCCCGAAACCAATGGTGACGTTAGGAAAATCACTGGATCAGCGTGAAAAGGCGAAAACTAATTATAAAACGGAACTTTTACGCAAAATATGACAACCTGCTTTTCAGCATTCTATTGTGTAAATTAAACTACACTGCATTTACTGTATATAATTTCATTCTGAGATAGATTTAGTACAGGCACCCTCCACGTAGCACAAAATAATCAACGCGAAATGGTGAGTATTCTTTCTTCTGTACTGAGCGATGCTTGATCGATTATATATCTTATTTCGCACGCGAGTGCTGAACCTTATAAAATCATCCATCTCCTCAATAAATTTCGGTATATAAAGTGTTGAATTTCCATTGTAGTGACGGACAGATCGACCTTTTCGCGTCAACAAAGACAAGAAAATTTTCCACGCAGTCGGCGATGTATTATTTCTCAGCTTGGCTGCTAAAAAAATCGACACTTTCCGCTGAAAATTTAACTTTTCATCATTAATCGAAAACAAATTCGTGCCTAACATTCGGACTGATCCTTAGTAAAACGTGTCGGGTTTCTTTTTGCTTTGGAGGAGAATCGATACATCTTTTATGGGTTTAGAACTGGTATGGTTGAAACTTGAATAAAAGTTACTCTGATCTTGGTAAAATATTTATTATCCAATTGTGTTTTGGCGAGAAAAGTATCGAAAAGTCGTTTTCCGATATGTTGTGTTTGTATCTTGCACTCCAGGAAAATTGTCTCTTGCAAAGTGTTTAAAGATCAAAGAAATTAAAGATCAAAACTAGGTTATAAAATTGTAAGCGTGTTTACTTTTAACATTTGGTAATGTAATACTAGAAAATGGAGAAAATTTGCATAAGGAAAATTGAATTTTGACATTTTCCAAGAAGTAACTTACGGTTACTACCTTTTCGCCTTATTTGCCGTTTCCGGGAAACTGGGTACAAACTATCCCATACACCTTTTGGGTACTATCAAATCAAATATGGCGGATGAAGGTTGCCTAAGTGAATGTAAACAACAAATTTAGAAAGGGTATGTAAGGTCAGTTAAAAAAATGCCCAGTGAAGAAGACTCTGATAGTGACGTACAACAAGGAGCGACGTGGGAGCATCAGTCCTTGGCACAGGTATGATCAAAACAAACACTGTCAATGACAAATCACGGCTTTTGTTTGTCTCGATCTGTAAGACATTACAGCATGGATAACTTTTGATAAACAAATTAACATATGCGTCATAGTAATTGTAGCGGAATGTGTAATAAGAAAATTTTAAGACTCGATCGCAAAATTGAGATGAAAACCTAGTCACCCCTTTTCAGTGACAAGAGAAATAAGAATACCAGATTCATTTTTTGACAAAGAGCCAAGTATAATTCATGTTGACAATTTCAGTCTTTTCATAGGAAAAATATGAACAAAATAACATAGTTGTAAGATTTTTTTTCTCTTAAGACTTCCCTGGTTTGCATCGGGTAAGCAAATATTGAGCCAGAACCGTTTAAGGTCCTAATAAAGAGAAGAAATTGAACAGATTTTGCAAAGGAGATTAACTTAGTTACTAAGAAAATAAGTTTCTTCTCCATCCTTTAAATTCCTCTATAGGTTAAGATAAAAGTTCTAAGAGGACATAAAGATGCTGTAAACAGCTGTTCATTTGCCTTTGAGGACTCCAAAATAGTTACAGCTTCACATGACAAGACTCTGAGGCTTTGGGTGGGTTTTTTTCATCCACTTACTTCTGATTCATTTTATTTAAAAAAAGGTGTAGCCAATTTCATTTATTATTAACTTATTAGTGGTATTTTAAATTAATATATGTTTTTACATTTTTTTCTTTTTGATAATAGCTAGGTTTAATGAACAATCTTGTATATATTTTTTGTAAATATTTCTGTAAACATATTTAATAGAAAGGTTCAATTAACAATTTTGTATATTTTTGTGAGAAAATTTCTGTAAACATTTTTAATAGTTAGGATTGATTTATAATTTTGTGTAGATAATAGGTAAGTCCACATCAGCTATTTTAGCTGCCACTTTTCGACCTACCTTAACTATTAAACTCCCATGAGTGACCAAGACAGAATTTCTCCTTACAATATCAATACAATATCAACCAGATAGGTAATGAGTATAAATAAAAATAGCAATTTAAGGATAATCAGTTGATCCAGTACTAAATTCTCTGTACTAACATTATAAGAATTATATAGTTGACAGTGAGGAGAGTTACAAATTTGATCTAGTCCAAGTTATGTTGGGAAAACAAGGTGAAATATGCATTACCCATTTATCATAATTACATAATTATGGAATTTGCAGCTTATCCAATGCTTGGGAAGGTAAAGAAGGCTGTAAAGGTTTTGGTTCCTCTTTAATGTATAATTATGTTACAAAAATTTTCATCATCTTGAAAAGGTGCACATATTTGATATCCAAGTTGTATTGGCCTTTTACAATGAAAGACTAGTGTAATCACATCTACATGTGTAATACAATCACCTACTATGTTGAAATAAGATTGTCTGGGTATGACAGCTTGGTTTGGCTGCCTTAATTTCTGTATGCTTACTTTTAATAATTCCCTCAAAGTTCCATGCACATTGTGTGATTAAAAATGCATACCTTAACATTCTTTTTAACTTCATGTACACTTGTGTACTTTTTTTTAGGATGCCAATTCTGGAGCTCAAGTCAATGTCTTTAAAGGTCACGATTCCTATGTTACATGCTGCCATACAGACCCAAACAATGCCAGGTTTGATGAAAGTTGAAATACTTTTTCTTTAAAAAACACTGTTGGAGGGGGCTAATGGATGATTTAGCTTGCTATGTTACACTTGTTAGCATCTATCCTTGTGGTTAGATCCTAAAAATGCACTGTTAATTTTGAAAATTAAAATGAATTGGATTGTGTCCTTAGCAAACACATATCGTTATTTTCTGGAGATTCAGTAAAAGAGCTCTCAGTATCAATATATCCAGGTGAACTATACTATTAATATGATATACTTGTGGTCTAGGATAGCTTCAGGTGGATGGGATAAAAGGCTTCTCGTCTGGGATATTCAGACTGGTACAATTCTGGTGAGCATACTGAAACCCAATTTAAACCTTAATAGCAGTAAATATATATCCACCATCCTGTTCTCTATATTTTACAAATAGATTACAAGTTGCTGTGCGTCTGTTCAGTAATAGATCATAGATAATGTCAAAATGTGGTAAGAACAAAAAAGTGGCACACGAGGTGCAGTTGAGTGTGTCACTGATGTTCTTACCACATTTTGACATCCTCTATTATCTATTACTGAACAGACGCATGGCAACTTGGAATTTATTTGTTAAATACAATAAAGAATTAAAAAAAGTTTTAATGATGACGTCATCTATACGTCTGTCCTCCAATAGATCATAAGTGAGAACCAATCAGAATGCGTGCATATTTGAGCTTATTATATAAATTATTACTGACAATGAGAATTTGTCAAATCATTAATGGCTTTATTTAGCAACTATTTTTCCATTTTCTCATGTCCTTCATGTTTGATTCAGTGGTTATACTGTAAGGAGAAATATGGATATGCTAGTCAATCTTAAGGGATTAGTGAGTTATTTTATTGCATGAAACAACCACTCAACTCTGCTCATTTAATAATACAGAATACCATGATGAAAGTAAATATAAAGAGAGGCCTGCGGTTGGTCAGCATGAGGCTGCAAGAAATTAGTGCAAGGCCATGCACTTACCGTTAACTGGGGTGTCTATGGCAAAAAGAAAATTACTTTGGACTCAAATCAATTGTGGGGAGACAGCCAAGTCAGGCTTTTAACTCAATCCTGAGTTTCTTGTTAACAAGAGAAAATTGAAGGCAACCCATCTTGTTTGATAAGTCTTTTTATTAGTTGTCCTGTCATCAAAGTGGTGAGGAGTTTTTTTTCAATTGTTTAACAGATGAGGCACTCATTCACAGATTTACTTTTTTTTACTTTTGTTTATCTAGTGGGAAGCAATGAATGAAGGTATAGTAACATCATGTCACTTCTCTCATGATGGACGTTACCTTGTCAACAGTAGTGACTTGGATTTTGCTGTCAGTGTGTGGGATGTCCGGGAAGGATCTCTCATCAAGAAACTTTTCAGTGAGTAGCATGATTGTTTTTTGCAGTGGGAGTCGCATGTTTGTGCCTTTAAGGAATTTGTATCACTGAGGATTATTTTATCTTAAAAACATAGAGTCTATTGGAAAATGCACAGTGGGTAAAATTAGTAAGACACTACATCTTTTAACTGAGTTGTCTTATTTTCCATTACATTGCTAACAAACATATCGGTGACACTCTTTTTTGTTCTAATTTGCATTGTTTTTTGTGATGAAAACAATCAGTAAAGAGTGAAAAGCAATATCTCTGTGAAACTGATGGAAAATCCTGCTCTAATGAACAAGGAAACACTAAATATGAAGAACATTCCATAAAACTCAGAATTATTCAAGGATTTTGTCCATAGTAAATAATAAAGGAAAGGAATTGAGAAAATGTATCTATTGACATGTAAGAATTTTTTATCGAGTTCACGCTTTGTTTTTTTGGTCAAATTTATAAAAAGGGATGTTACCTGGTAACTTAAAGATATTTGCTTACTCTGAGGGCTTTTCCATTAGATATTGTCTTCAACAACAACAAAAGAAAATTCACATCTTTAGACTTCAGGATGGTTTTCTCTACATAACCATTTAAATTTTTGTGATCAGATGTGCAGTATTTAAACCTCTAGGAATAGTACAAGTATCTCTTAAATATTTCATTTAGTTTCTCCTTATGGTCACCTTCACTATCAGATCACAAGAGTACAGTTACATGTTGTCGCTTTGCTCCAAGCCAAAACAGGATTTGTACAACCTCCATGGACAGAACAACAAAGATCACAGACATGCTTACATTTACAAATGATTATAATGTTACTCTTACAATGGGGTGAGGCTTACAAGTCAGCTTTGAGGCTTCGTATATCATATTATGTACTAAATAATTATTACTAACAGTAGCTATGAATTAAGTCTTTAGCTCCCCGATCACAAAACTAGTTCACTTAACTGCTGTGAGCACATTTCGTTGTAGGTTATTTAAATAATTTGATTTTATTGCAAACAATATCCCCTGGTATTATATTGCAATTCACATAACCTTTCTGTTTGATGGTGAAATGAAATTGTAAGGAGAATTTAAGTTTTCATAACTCTTTGAAATGATAGGGAACTCTTTGTTAAGTTCATCTTGGTAGTATGACTGCTTGTCATTACAATCCAATTTTTATAGCTGGACAGTGATTGCATTAAGTCTGCTATACCTCTTAGCATGTTAGACAAATTGCTAAGCAATTATGTGTATGATACTCTGCCCACAATGTCTTATTTACTTATTCACTGATTCCATGGTGCATCAATTAGTTGATAATTTAGCTCATTTTTTATCTCCAGGGGACATATCAATGTTATCTCTAGCTGTTCCTTCAGCAGTGATGAACACTTATTGGCCACAGGATCATGGGATAAAAATATTAAGATATGGGATCTTGCCACTGGTGTCTATAGGTACCAAAGCGCTGTATGAATAACTGTATCATACAAGCATTATATTTTAGGGTCCTTTATCAAGCAAATAGTAATGTTGTGTAGTAGATGTAAAGAATGGCAGAAATCACCCACTTTGTTTCTTTTGTACTGTAGTCTTAAAAAGCAGGATTGTTGTTAAGAGATGTAGTTGTACAGGAGGATATCCTCCACGTCTGAATTTAAAATAACCCAGGTCATAGAAATTTTGAGGAAGAATTTTGTGATTTGCAATTCCCAATAGACACCTCGAAAAAGCCTAGGTGCATTGCTGGGGTACTTCATCAGAATGTACCATTTGGAGAGAGAGGGGGGGCAGAAGAGGGTAATTTATAATTGTTCATGGTTTTATCAAATATTTATCCATAAAGTATAGATGGTCTTTGTCTTACAAGCTGCTTTAAGTTTTATATAGGAAAATACTAGAAGGCCATCCTCTTGCTTTCCTTATCAATATATTTTTTTTTAATGTTTCTTCATAGCATGAGTAAGGCAAGCTATTTTTTTTTAAACTCTCTCTTACTTCATTGAAACTTTACCTTTGAAAAACACATCAAATAAAATATGTCATGAAATAGTTTTGTTACATGTACTTTGTGATCTTATGTTCCTTAATTTTAATTTATTTCTAAAGTTAAACCTGTTTCATTAACCAGGAATCATGGACCAATCACTCTCTCCAAAGGACATGAAGGTTCTATCAGTGCATGCAACTTCAGTGAAGATGGTGAGTTGGAAAATTGATCCTGTTTTGTGTTTCTGTTTGATCCATGCCTTATTAATTAATAAAATTATTATTTTAATTGATTCCTGGTACTAGATTAAGTACATTCTGCCCCAAGATGATTATGGATGTTATATCAAAAATACTTCAGTCATACAGTTAATGGAAATTGATGATCACTCAACTTGATTTTATTTTTCATTTTCACTCATTCAATGTTTCTGTGATGTTGTCTCCATTGCAGGTGGCATATTAGTTTCTTCATCATATGATGAAACTTTGGTTATATGGGATGTTGAAAATTGTTGTCAGAAATTTGCCCTCAAGGTATTTACACATCATTTTAACCCTTTAACCCCTACGAGTGACTGGTATCCAATTTCTCCTCACCATGTCACCCCTGAATCAAACATTAAGGACAGGAGAATAAAGGAGCTGATCATCAACTAAAGAAGCTCTTGATTGTTAGACAAATTCTCCATGTCTGCATCTTAAAACAGTGTGTAGATAACAGTATGGAGAATATGCATTATTTCTCACTAGACTTTATGTCACTTTCAATATATATGTTACGTTTTACATTATAGTAAAATAAGTTCAAGTAAGATTCCAGAATGTTACTTGCCGGGTTAATTTGTAATTTGCACTTACAGATCTTTAGAGCAGCACTGCAAGTACTTTCCTTTCCTCTGTTTTGAGTTAAATCAACATAATTCAGATGGGAATAGAAAGTTAATATTTTATCATGTGACCCATACAGGCTCATGTGCACTCTTATGTCAAACATTTAGTACAGTCATAAAAGGCCATCAGTCCTATGAACAACCCTGGAAGAAGGGAAAGGCAAGAAGAAAGGCAAGACAGACAACTGAGGGGTTGTCCTATGATCAAATGCTTATTTACTGGGTCAGGTAGAGCCAGAGAGAAAAATCTTGAGCTCCATATTGCTGTGCTCCATACATCATTACCTCGAGTTATGAATTATATAGCATGTTAAACTGACTATTTCCTGTTTTTTTTAGGGTCACACAGGATGGGTGAATGACTGCAGATTTAGCACTGACCAGAAATGGATAATATCCTGCTCAAATGTTAGTGTGTTATACTTTTAAGTGAAGGCCTTTCAGGATTTTTAACAAGGTTTTCATTCTAACCCAAAAACTTCCCATTCAATTAGCCTCCTGGCCCTATAATTGTAATCAATTTCATTGTGGGTTAATTATCATGTTTTTGTATCATTTTTTAAAGTACAAGAGCAGATTAAGTATTATTCTTAGGTGGTTGATATTATTTAGCTTGTTAGTGTTTTACCTTAAACAAGAGAGCAAACAAAATTTGTTAGTTTCTAACTTTAATTGTGTCCAATTTTTGGAGGTATACCAAAACACTTGAGTGCATAATCTCAGGAACCAGTGGTACTTCTTACCAAATTGAAATAACAGCCTCTGAAGGATTTCAAGTTTGCATGAAAAAACTGTTGCTGTGAATGGAATTCAAAGTAATTATTATTTATTAATTTTTGTATTTCAGGATAAAACTGTGCGTATGTGGAACATTGAATCAAGTGATGATATACCAGTGGTACTAGAACACAGAAAGAACATTGGGTTAAGAATTGTCCAGGTTTGTTCAACTTTTTACTGTTAACATTTTTATACGGTTGGGTCGTGGAATATATTCCTTAATGAAACAACATGAATTTGTTTTATGTTTGAACACCTATTTATAGTGCCTTTCAATTTTTAAGTGACTGGGATTTTACCATTTTTTGTTTTGCAGTCTTTGTACCATGTCATTGGTTCAAACCCTCAAAGTTTTCTTTATTTCTTTTACTTTCAGTGTCAAAACTGCAGCAAGCCTTTCTCTATTGCACAATTGGATGATGAACAAAATCACAAGTACTGTGTTTTCTGTCGCTTGGAGCACCCTTCAGAATTCTCAGCTTCACCAATTGACTTCAACATGTGATCTTTAGTCAACCATGAGATGAAGCAGTAAAGACAAAGTGTTGCTGCTGTGAACATTGCAATTCAAATCTCTATAACCATGAAAGATTTAAACAAAATGAAACAATTCTTTGGTATTCTCCTACATCCTTAACTCTTTTTTTAACTCCCAGGAGTGATTAACATGTAACTTCTCCCTACAATATCTTTGTCATCCAGCAAACAAGTAATGGGAATACTCAAACTTATCAGATAGAAGTTGTCATCGCAATCTAACACCAAATTCTCATAGCTAATTGACAAGGAAATGTGTAGTAGCTAGGGGGGAGAATAAATAAATAATAATCAGAAGTTGGGAGCTGAAGGGTTAAGGCAAAAACAGTAATCTTTCCCTTGTGTGTTAGATCAGGTACCAAGACAAATTCGATTCATGTACTCATTGCCATTAAGATTTTAAACTTACAAATCAATAACAGAACAGAACTAGACAAGGTCATATTTATTTTTTCTTATATTTTAATATAGCTCTAAGTTATTAAACCATGTTGTAAATAGTCAAAGCAATGGTATTTGTACAAAATTGACATGTTCTTACTTGACTTTTGCAATTTCATACTGTGGATGAGACATTGAAACATTGTAGTTATTTAATATCAACATTTTTCTCCATTTTACTAATATAACTGTATATTACACTGTTATTTCCTTTATCTGTAGGTTGAAACTGTATACATTAAATGGCAATAATGTATAAACTTTTAAAAGCATTTTAGGATTTTATTTGTGTTTACAGAGCCTCACCTAAACACAAGGGGCTTTGGCAGAATTTGAAATACTTATGCAAATGGAAGGTATTGTTGATGGATTGGTTAACTTAGCCCTCTACACTTAACATCAGTAAGCATATTCTCAATATTGTTGCTAACAAGGAGAATTTGTTTGACAATCAGGAGCTTCTTTAGTTGGTGATCATTCCCTCTATTCTTGTGACCTAAATGCATGGTTCAGGGGTGATGTTGTATGGAGAAATTGGATGCTTTTTAGGGTTAAAGGGGTTCTCCTGGCCTCCATGAGTGCATAGATGGAGCTACGTAAACACATAAAAAGTCTTCCTTTGCTTTTACAAAATATCAAGTTGCTCAAAAATAAATACAATCCCAAAACTTCTTCACATTTTAAACTTACTTTCATTTTAACACAACTATCAACCAATGAGAGTGCAATTGGTATTTCATTTATTTTATAATAAATGTTACAGCATTAATTTTAGTTTCGGCTGTAATCTATCTCACCTACTGTATGTCCTAGTGAACATTGTGATGATATTCTTCTGTTTCAATTGTCCTCCCAATGTCTACTCAAACAATATACATCACAACTGGTTCCAAACCTACATCACTGTTAACTTTAACTCCCAGTAGTGATTAACATGTAACTTCTCACTATAATATCATTCATTATCCAGCAAACAGGTAATGAGAATACTCAAACTTATCAGATAGAATTTGTTATCTTGATCTAATACCAAATTCTTGGAAATAATTTACAAGAAAATGTGTAGCAGCTTGAGAGTTAAAGGGTTAACTCTATTTTATTTTACACAATAAGTTTTTTCTTTAGGCAATTGTCTATATGATTGTATGACCAAGAAAAGAAACAATCAAAACTTTGAAGCTTGCCACATAGAATTTTTTCTTCTTGCCTACTTTTGTGAGCTATGAATGAACTTACTGAATGCAAAGTCTGTTTTGTTGGGGGTAACCAGTTTGTGATGATTTTTATTAGATAAAGATGATTGATCACACAAGAATAAACATTCTCTTTACAAAATTCTTCAGCCTTCTTCTAAATCTTGTTTTATTCCAAAACCTACACTACACTATTTCTCCTATTGTTTCCTTGCATTTGTAGCTGAAAAAAAGTCTTTTATTTGCAGCGCATTTGCATTACCCACCACAGTGGCAAGAGACTGAAACAAAATGTACATTATATATTAATATCTCAGAGCAAATGTTATTACATATTATGATCAGAAACTGCAACAGTACAGACATCCCAAATTTAACATAAAAAACTTAAAAACAATGTACTGCTCCTGCGCCACTCATAGTTTACACAACAAAGTGTTCGAGAATAATTCAAATCAAACTAATTAGTGATCATGTAACTTACTGCAACTGAAGCTTTACAGATTTGTTCAATACCTAAAAACCAAAATGGAGAAAGTTTTAAGTTAATTTGTGTATTGAAAAGCAATATGTTTTTTTTTTCCAGTAAGTGCTCTACAAGAGCATTATTTATACTGTTCAGCCTTTCAGGTTTTTGGGATCAAAGAAAGTTTTTACTCTTTCAAGATATTAAAGAGGCAAGACATGACATTTACCACAAAGTACAAATGACAAAAATTGAACAAAATGCCATCTGCTCTCAACATTTACACTGTATGCATGAATGTGAAAATAGGTGTAGCAGCTGTGAACAATACTTTTTTTTTATTAAGGGTAGTTTGAGGATTACAAGAAAATTGGGTAAAATCAGAGATTGCTTTTGTTGTTGCTCAAACATGCCATTATTACTGTATGTTGTTTTTTTCCTGAAAAACTCCTAAATTGCACATATTAAGAAAAAACCAGTTCAAAAATTTTTGTTATAACACTAAGAAGCCAGAAAATACCTACTGTTGAATTTAGATAATAAGGCCACAGCTTTTTTCTGTCCTACTCCTGGTACATTCTGTAGAGTTGTAAGTACAGCTTGATCTGTGGCTTGTGGTTTCATCTTAATGCGGTAAGGGTTGCTTTGGGGTTTACTTTCCAACAAAACCTGGAAAGAAGTTTTGGACCTCTTAGCAAATCAAAGCACAGTTTTCAATCTCTTATTTTACACAATAAATAGTAATTGCATGTAAAGATTAAAGGAAAGTTATCTCCAGTTACCAACAGGTTTAAAATTTATACCTACACTGATATTTCAGTTAAGGATGCAGTGCGCATCAAACATTGCAATTACCAGGACAAACAAAGGGTAACTTGGCCTTTAAAAAAGTTACAATTTTGTTGATTTCCCAACTCTCCCTACAGTCATGTAATATTTGACCCAGCCCTTCCTTCCTAGTAACTCACCATTTGAGCTAAGATTCTGCCAGCTTCAACAGGTGATGCTACAGGAAGAAGTACCAGTCCTCTCTCCATTACAATGAACTTCTGAAGTTCATAAAAGTACTGAGAGCTAAGTGATGTCTTTTCAGCAATTATTACTTTTCTGAATGATGCCTGAAATTCAAAGGAATGGCATTTCATTTTGTGAAATTAATAGCATCCTGTCCAAATGATATCCTGAATAAAATATTTAGGGGCAGCAGGGATGGCACAGTGGTGAGAGCACTCCCCTTCCACAACTGTAGCCTGGGTTCACCTCCAGGACCTGATGTCACATGTGGGTTGAGTTTGTTGTTGGTTCACATCCTTGCCCTAAGGGTTTTTCTCTGGGTCATCCAGTTTTTCTCCCTCAGCAAAAACCAACATTCCAAACTCCAATTTGACCTGGAACAGTGGACTGAAAGAGCCTTGTGGATTTTCCACTGCTAGATCATTGTTATTATTATTATTATTATTTAGATAATGTTAAATAATAATACTGTTATACCTTTCCAAATTTGAGCAGTTTCTCTTTGTAATTGTATCCACCAACCAGATCTGCTTCAGAGAGATAAACCACACCAACATCTGATGATGGGTTGAAATCCACCACTCCCATGCAGTCATCCATTTGAATGTTCACATGATTTTCTGTCAAGATATCACTTAAAGGATTGGTCATTCAGCTAGTAAATGAGTAAATTTCTCCATTTGTTGGTCAGCCTGCAAGTTACCAGTACTATTCAGTCAGTCTATCAGTCACTTAGACAGGCAGTCAGTTAACCCTTTACACCCTAACATCACTATGCATATTCTCCACACTGTTCTCTATACATTTCCTAGGTTGCTGACAAGGAATACTTCTTTAGTTGGTGATCATTTCCTTTATTCTTCTTACCTTAATGTGTGATTCAGGGGTGATATTGTAGGGAGAAATCACATGCTAGTCACCCTTTGGGGTCAGTCAGTCACTTACAGTTGGGTAGTAAGTCAGTCAGTCAGCCAGCCTAAAGGTTAGTCAGATTGGCAGTAAGTTAATCAGCCAGGCATTTGGTCAATCAATGAGTCAATTGCACAGACTGTCAGTATGCAAGTTATTATGCAGTCAGTCCATCAGACAGTCAGTAAGTCAGTGGGCCAACCAGCCAGTCAATTAGTTCATAAATAAGTAAGTTAGTCAGACAATCAGCAAGCCATCCAGGTATTCTGTTAATTGGTCATACAGTCAGTTAGGCGATAAGTTACTGAGTCAGTCATCCAGGCAGGCAGGTATGCAGTAAATCATTCTGTAAATCTACCAGCAATTTTAATCACTCATGAAGATAACCCACTAGTTGATTGGTTGCATAATTCAGAAAGTCAATCAGCCAATTATTTCTTAACCATTCATTCCAACAATCAAAATATTAGTCCATTGGCCATTTACATTCAATCACCTAAGTAATTATGACTGAAAAAAAGTCAAACAATTCCATGTGGAATAAATTAATAAAAGCTTCCTGGTTGATTCTAAACTGCATTAATCTCTGGGTTATTATAATGCTGCGAATGTAAGCTAAAAGGGGATGAGAAACATCAGCAGACGTGAATTTCATCCATGTTGTTTTTACATTTTTAAATTTTGGCGCGAAATACCCGCGAACCATTAATATTAAACTAAAAAAACATTCGAGTCGTTACCTTGTAGGGTTTTCACAACGTCACTTTCATGAAATCTTTCATTGACAAGAATGTGTCCGGGAAGAATACAGGCACCATGAAGCCTCGGTTGAGTTGGAGTGAATTGAGACGACGAAAGCGCCGCCCTACTGGACGCCATATTGTTATTTCGGTACTTCCGTGACCAGCGGTAAAAAACGTGGAAGCAAGCGCAGACAAATTTGCGCATGAATTTTGAAATGCTTGTTTGTAAGTGGAAGACATTTTGGTAAATAATTCCATATTCTTGCTCCATCAAAATGAATGTTGCTGATTTACTAGCATTTCAGGTATTTGAATTGCTGTTTTGTGGGAGTTGATGATGCAATGTCTGTTATTAACATTTTCTAGCACCATATATTAATCTCAGACTTAATCGGAGGTACAAGAAGCAACTTCTTAAATTGTTTAAGAGAACACGAAACCTTTTCCGGTTTTCAGATTTGAGTTTTATATCTCTGGAAAGTTAAATCACTTGAAGATTTGTGTTTTGGTTTAATTGTATCCTCATATAAGAGATTCTTTTCTCAGTCTTTGGTATGATACTGTTTTGTAATGAGAGTGAAACTTAAAAATACTGAACTCCGAAATTAGAACCAAGACTAAAATCGAGCTTCAACATTTATCCTTTGTCTGATTTCAACACAGTTGCAATTAAATAATCAATGACCCATCATAGCACTTTCAGAAATTCACTCTTGATAGTTTCACTTTCCCCCTGCCCTTCCCCCCCTGCCCTTTCCCCCACCCCTCCACCCTCTATCCTATGATTAGGGTTTGGCATTCAAATGTTGTATGTTGTGGTAGAAAATTTTCACTTGAAAGGTTTATGAGATTGTTTTATTTGTTTATCTGTTTGTGATAGCCTGAGAGAGGAGCCAAGAGAAAAAATGATGAGGAGGATCAGGTGTCCATTAATATAAAGAAAAGACCAATGGCTGCGGACAGGCCAACAGGTTCTGGTCTGTCTGAGGAGGAAAGATTGAAAATATTGGAAATGGTAGAAAATGAACCAGAGGTCAGTTTTGTCCATTTGAAGGATCAGAAATTTAGAAATTTGTTAGTGTCAACATAACAAAATGGTGCAATCAATGGATAAATTTTTCATAGATTTTTATCTTAATTTATCAATGCTAAGTGGAATTTTTTGTTTCTCTTTTCACTTTTTCATCTGTAGCATAATTTTCTTTTTTTTTCTTTTTGAAACTTAGATGGAAGCTCTTGATGTAGGTTCTCTGAAGAGGATGCTTCTGCTCTTTGAGAAAAAAGTTACAAAAAATCAAGAAATGAGGATAAAGTACCCAGAGAATCCAGAGAAGTAGGTCTTATTACCTTCTCTCTAATTTTTTTCAGTGAGATCAACATTTTTTAACTGTGCATCCTATTTAGTCAAAAAATTATTAGAATATATTTACCCTCATTAAATTTATTATGGTTGTGTGATCCTCTCAATGTTTTCCAACTCTCATGGATTAACTAGAAGTCCCCCAGATATATAATGCAGTTCCTGGCATTTGGATATATTTTGCTCCAAAAAGGGGAAATCAGGTATATTTTTAAGCAAAAAAAAGGTTTGGGGTGTTAGATGGAACTGCAAAAAGGTCTTTGAAAGATGTCAAATAGGTTTGTTACAAAGGAGTAACTGTGTTTTACATGATAAAGAAGTGTAATTTTGTTTTATTCTTGACAGGTTTATGGACTCAGAGCTTGATCTGAATGATGAAATTCAGAAGTTACATGTTATAGCCACAGTTCCACATCTCTATCAGCACATTGTAGATGTTAATGCTGTTGGAACCATCCTAGGCTTGTTGAGCCATGAGAATTCAGGTGAAAAATATGGATACTTTGATGGTACCAAAAGACTGAAAGATTTATAAGTTTTCCTCTTTCTTTTTGATGCAATAGTTGCATAATTTTCATTTTATGACTGTACGTAACAAGGAGCATCTGGTTCATCTTCCTTGACCTTTTGACCCCTAAGAGTGACAACCATCTAATTTCTCCTTACATTATCACCCCTGAATCCAACATTAAGGTCACAAGAATAAAGGAAATGATCACTGATTAAAGCATCTCTTGATTGTGAAACAAATTCTCCTTGTCAGCACCTTAAGAAAAGCATCAAGAGCAGTATGGAGGATATGCATACTGATGTGAGGGTGTAAAGGGTTAAATGTAAGAATCATTATTCATTTTAAACTAAAAGCCTGTTCTTTTTGTCAGTGATTTTTTGCCACTCTTGTTTTTAGGTGTTATTTATTGGAACTATGGATTAATGAAATAGTTTATTCAAAGTCAACACCAGACAGTCTATATGCCTGAATTAAAAACCGTAAGACTTCTAAAAAGTACAGAATATGATAATGAGGATACAATGAAATGGTAGACACATATGTTAAAAACTATTAACATGTTGTAATTTGAACTATGGATGATAATAAAGGGGTTCTAAAATGGTCAGTTTGACAGACTGACATGTTGAAAAGTCTCATGTAGTGTGTCTGTTGTCAACAGTGACTTGCTTTCAGATTCAGTAGCCTGGCAAGTTTGTGGTGTTCTATAGCTATAATAATTACCTTTGAATAGGTTCTTGCAGTGTATGCACAGCTGTAGCTGATCATGCCTATCAACTTGGGTGGGGAGTCTGGCTTCCTCAAATTCCTTTCCATACCCTGTATGGGGTAAAACTATCACTGCCAACTTGTTCTCTCTCAATATCTCTAGTCCATTGATCCTAATATCGATAAAATAATGATATTTCCAACAGACATCTCTATAGCTATCATTGATCTACTCCAAGAAATGACTGATGTGGACACACTTAATGAGAGTGAAGAAGGTGCTACTGCTCTTATAGATGCACTTGTAAGTCCTTAGTCTGCTATTTTCTGTACTGGAGTGCTTTTTCAAATTGTTTCTAATGATAGATGCTGATGTGTCTGCTTTCTCTTTAGCTTGAAGGGCAAGTGGTTGCTCTTTTAGCCCAAAATCTGGATAGACTGGATGAAAACATCAAAGAAGATAGTGATGGTGTACACAATACATTAGGTTTGTGCAAATAACTCAAACAGAATCATTAATTTCTAGAAGACTCTATTCAATTGAACTAGGTTTTCTTTACTGTCGTATACCTCTATTTCTGTTCACATTTATGATCATTGTCCATTACTAACTGCCACTGAATCCCTTTCTTTGCTCCAAATATCAACATAAGGTTTCTTTACAAGATTGTAGGCAGTGTTGTTTAATTTTTATGTGTTTTCTCTCTGATCAGGAATCATAGAGAACATGACTGAACTCAGACCTTCAGTATGCCAGGTGGCAGGTGAGCAAGGAATGCTGGGATGGCTTCTCAGAAGACTTAAGGTAACTTATCCAAATCAACTTTAAATGCAGTTTATTCTGATTATATGAGGGTGAGTGTCTCATTCTGATTATTTTTGTCTTTTGTTTTTCTGAATTTATTTTAGCAAAAGCCTCCTTATGATGCCAACAAACTTTACTGCAGTGAAATTCTCTCCATCCTTCTTCAAAATACAGAAGGTAATGATGAATGAAGATGGTAATAATTAATAAAATAATCATTAGTTGCTAGAGTAGTTGATTTATGTTGATCTCCAAGCTTATTTTATCAGAAACTAATCAAGACTTTATGTACACTAAATAGATTATTTTTCATTATAATCCTAAGAAACAGTACTTAAAAGTAGTTTTGTGGATTACCGTTTGCAAAATTTGAAATTTTGTCCCTAAAGACACAAAAGAATGAAGGTATGATCAACATCTTGAGGCCAATTTTATCATCTTGTCCCCAATTTAAAAAGGAGAACCCTAGTTTTTTTCTTCCTGATCCAAAACCTTTAGAAAATGCCTTGCTTCTGTTGAGCTTTGCAAATAATGGACAATATATGGGCTCTTTCATGAGAGAGTACACTTGATCCATAATGAATAACATTTAATTCATTGAAAAAGATGGAAGCAGAGTCTCCATATGTACATGTTTTTTAGAAATTTATACATTAAAATAAGGTTGTTTTCTCACCAGAAAACAGACAGCTTCTTGGAGAACTTAATGGAATTGACACACTACTACAATGTCTATCAGTAAGCCCCTTTTAGCTCAATATCATGATAATGCTACCGGTATTTTTAATAATTTGTTTGAGAGCCACATTGCATCTACTTTGAAGAATCTGTTAGCTCTGTGTAGAAATGCTTAAGTAATTCTAATATTTAGCTGATATCATTACAGCTTTACAAGCGATATGACCCTACCTCATCAGATGAATTAGAGTTTATGGAAAATCTTTTCAACTGTCTGTGTTCCTCTTTGATGCACAATGCAAACAAAGATCTGTTCTTGAAGGGAGAGGGACTTCAGCTTATGATTCTCATGTTAAGGTAATTTTTTTAACACCTACTTTTTTTTTTCCTTTGCTTTCCTCATGTTATCTTTCGTTTTGTTTGAGTTGAATGCCTTTAAACCAAGTCCCTTAGTTAATTTTCTGAATAAAGTTCTACTTTTTTCAAAGATGACTTGGAATGGTTTATTTTTTAGAGAAAAGAAACTCTCTCGTAGAAGTTCCCTGAAGGTGCTGGATTACGCCATGCAAGGAGCCGAAGGAGCTGAAAACTGCAGCAAGTTCATTGAATTCCTGGGACTTAGAAGCTTATTTCCGTTATTTATGAAGGTGAGGAACAAGTCGTCTAATTTCAGGAATTTAATAACGTTTACCATTTGAGGGTAGGCCCTCATTATCAGCACAGCAAGACACACGTTCCTCCGCCCTCGAGAAGATTTTAGACGAGTCGGCGAGAGGTTTGCCAGGGACGTAGCACTATCAGTGCTAGACTCCTTGCAGACCTGTCGCCGACGCGCGTTCAAGGCCTCATACTTTTATCGCAGGCGAAGAAACGCGTGGGCTATTTAGGGACTATTTGCCGCCTATCATCTTATTGGTCATGAATTTAAAAAAAATTCCTGTCTAAGGAGGAAAATTGTGTGAGTGTTACGATTTTTGTATGCTTTTTATCTAAAGGGTTAGTCATGAATGTTCTTAAAAGCCCCTAAGTTAAGTATCAAACCAAATATTTTAGCAACAGACTGTCATAAATACT